CAGCCTGTTTGGAGGTGACATGAATTCAAATGTCTTCATATTTTGGTGTACATGAAGGTGATGGGCGAGAGCCAGCTCCTGCTTATCGAGGAACATCTTGGGTATCTTCCGCCCTGGTACTCGTATCCACGTCCTCTGTCTGGGCAGCGAAAACTTTGCTGATATGTGACTCGGTCGAAGTGACTTTTTTTGCCCCCCCCCCTGTATAGTCGGCTATGAACGTGTGTGCGTTGGTACGTGCGTGCGCGTGTGTGTATATATCTGTGTGTACGTCTGTCTGTTTGCGTCTCCCGATGTCACTTTTTCAATTCTATACCTTGTCGCGGACCGAGCCTTAAACTCCACGAGAAGAAGCGCCTTCATGCGCTTGAAAAGTTATGATAGTACTTTGCAGGGCTTTTGAACAGGTTTGAAAAGCAATAATAATGTACAAAAATAAGCGCCACGCGCCCGTAAGCGTACGATGCTATTTGACAGCTTTACGACAGCTTTTGAATAGCTTGGAATAGACTGAATAATGAATTTTGAATAGCGAAATAGCTTTGTGAGAAACACCCATTATCATCTAATTTTGCATGCAATTCTCTCAATAGCTCTACGGGAAAATCCTTATTTCTATTATGCCCTTTTCAAATCTCAAAATGCCTGATGTTATTCTGTTCCTTGATCTCAAAAAAGCGCTACGTGAATGGAGAGTGCAAAATTCCTCTATGCCTTAAACCGTATATAAACGCTCCGAAATTGATTCCCGGGCCTTGTGCACATTCTCGATAAAAGCTTTTTACTCGCCGTATTACTTCTTCTAGCCGTAATCTTTCTGTTTCGAAACCACTTAGCGCTCAACGTGCATCCACTTAGCTCAACATGCTAAGTAGATATTAGTTTAGTTCAGTCAGGTACTATTAGCAATGTTTCAGAAGAAGCCACTTCCCAACGTTATCCTTTTGGTATATTATCACAAGAATGCTGAGTTGTGTATAATATACATGAAGCCGCCTCATAACAGTATAGAGCAATGAAGCAAATGCGAGGGTTGGAGTTGCATCTGAAGACCGAAAGCTCGATTCGCGTGTTCATAGTAAAGACAAGTATCCGCGCTCGAGAGGCCTTCAAAATGACTTCGCGCCTTCTGGAACCCTCTGCGCCTTGATGAAGATGATCCCGCTTTTATCCATCAATGGCGCGCGATGAGGAAGTTATCGCAATTTCGACAAGGCTCGCTAGGCTCACGGAGACGGTACCGGGGTTTAGAGTAGGTGGACGAGGCGTCTGGTCCCGAACTGCATCCGTCCCTTTAAAGCCCGCGCGTCCCTTTAAGCCCGCGGTCCCACTGGCATTTTGCCAAAGTTGGCTCATAGCTCAGCTAAAGGTCTTACTTCGGTCAGGCTTGTAAACATGTGTGAAAGTGCGGAACCATTAGAGTTTTTTTTTTTTGCTTATGGAATGTAGTGCTTGCTTTTCCAATGGTAGGGAGATTTGTTGTCAAGTGGGGTTTGTTGTCATTTTCTTTTTTTTTTTTTTCTTGTCAATTTCCCAAGAAAACTCCAGCAAAGCTCGAAGCTCTTCCCAATTTTCTCTGTAAGCAACTCTAATCATCCCATCGTTGGAAATTGCAGTACGTTGCGAAGCGGCGCTGTAGCGCTACGCTGTAGCGCGACGCTGTAGCGCTACAAGTATGAACGCTGCCTTACGTTCGAAAGTATCCTATTTCGAAAGTTGGGACGCAATTGCGGCTGCCGCATCGAATTCTGGCAGCCACGCCCGGCACACTCGTCCAGGCCCCGCCCCCACTGCTAAAGGTAGGTTTGGGTTCAAGGTGTTCCCGAAGATTTTTCTGCTTCTTTTTCTACTGAGAAGCTAACTATGGAATACTGGTGCATGACAGAGTACAATTGCCCGCAATACTTGATCGCGATAATTGTCTTTAATTAAATTGAAAAATTCGTGGACATTTTTTGAATCTCGCATCAGATCTTTCCCCAGCCATTTCGAGATCCATTCATGTGATCTGTGGGAAGTGTGTTAGGTAAGCATCCCAGGCCGCTCTTCAGTCGTCTCGCTAAGCTCGCTGTTCTCATATGAAAAACGGTAATTGAAATTCATCATTTTCGACACACTTCGCTATATGAATCTCTACCAAGCCACAACGTGGTTGGAGCCATAAGCGGCATTTCCCTTATTTAGATCTTGATGTTACCTTCCACAGTACGGCTTTGGAATGGCCCAATTGCTTCCGCTTTAGTGACTTCTATCCGGGTGAAAAACTTCGTCCAAGGAGGCCACCTGCCTTGGATTTGGACCTACTGTGTTCCTTGATTAAAACCAGTACGTACAAATCAACTTGCTATCTAGTCCTTACAGTTGGACTGACGTCCAAAGAATGACAGAGGCCTCGCTTTTGTCGAAATAATTCTTATCTGAGGTTCGGTCAAATTTTTCTCATGAGTTAGCAGACCAAGGGAGCAACATGTGGGTACTGTCTACAACTTTTCTCCTGCTTCCGCTGTACGGACTGACTGAACAGCACTGTAGCTGGATATGGAGTGGTTGCCTCTAGGTGAATCACTGCTGGGAGAGCTAGCGGCTAGATCCCCCAGAAAGGGCAGAACCGGCGCAATCCTATCAATCCAGTAGGGTGGTGAGACTGTGTATGTGGTGGAGTTGTTTCTTTCACTTCCATGAACGGAATTTCTTCTGATCTCAGTGCTGTGGGTAAGTCAACGAACGACCTATTGTAATCAACGTGCAGGAGGGGGTTGGAAATGCTAACTTTGGTCTCAAAAGCCGAGAATTGTTGTCCTACTTCCGATCAAGGAGGTCACATGTTGTTGGAAAAGCGACAACCCGAGATCCCGAACCGGGTTAACTATCTGGGGCATTTGGCCAGCGTAGTTCCGCCTCGTTCAGAAACAGTAAATGGACGAATTGCAGACTTTCTAACGATCTGGTGGATAGTGCCGGCTGGCGGCTGGGGCAAGGCGAGGTGGAGATGCGGAGGTGGGTAGGGGTAGGGCACGATCGGCGGGTCCATCCCGATGCGCTCCACCCACGCCAAACTCGGGCTTTCCTATCCAACCGGAAATGGTCACGAGATTTCGTCTGGGAGGCATAGGAAACACTGACTGTACAATGCGCTGCCCCCCAGTCATTTTATGGACTACATGGGAGTAGTTTGTGCGGTTTCTTTGCGCGACAATAACCTTGTAAGGAGCACCGGTTGTAAACATTCACTGTATATTCATTTCCTTTTAGATAAGGAAACAGCACTTCCAAACTCCCAATGGACCCGTTTTCATCGGACTTCGACCGACGCCCACTTTTTGCGCCTTTTTTGCGAGAATTTGGAATATTTCCTAAACTTTTCGCGAAACTCCGCCGGGTGTTGTGGCGGCGGGGTAGTTTGCGGTGCGCTCCGCGTTCATGCGTTAAGCGATTCGTTGTTTTTTGCGCGTGTCGCGCTCTGCTGCTTTTTAAGCCAAGTCTTGTAGCGTGTGCTTTGAATACACAGTAAAACCGCAAATTTCTTTCAATTTAAGGTGCTGGCAAAATAATGAGCCGACGAGTAATGACGAGGGCCTAGAACTACAACAGTGCCATATGCTGCTTCTGTAAGTATCCCCCTCTGAGAGCCCCGCGCATTTCCTCCACGCACAATATGAAAATAAGAAGCGGCGCTAAGCTCTCACTACGTTAGTTCGAAGTATTTCTATGGCTTTGGAGCCGAATTCGTGCCGAATCGCAGAAATTTACAAGCAACTTCAAATAATTTGCGTTTCCTTGATTTTTTCATTTTGTTTAATTTTTTGTTTAATTTACATCTACATTGGTTATTTCTGATTCTGCATTTCTAGCCTTGTATCTTCATCACCTTCTATTCGGACTTTGCAGCATGAGCAACACCTCAGATGATCTACGCATCAGGAAATTGCGTTTTACTTGTATTTCAAAGCGCGGCTACAGGACTTGGCAAAAGGCCAAGAGAGCCGTACGTGACACACGTGCACACGACGGATATTACAATGGACGGGAGTTTGTGCCGCAAAAAGGTATTGGGCGGAGTATGGAGGAATTAGCGTGTTTCACAGTCCTGTATCTCCATTCCTGCGCATGTTAGGACGGGAAATCGCTGTTTCGACGGCTGGGGGGGCGGGGCTGAGTAGTGCCACGGCACACCCAACACTAATTTGGAGTAGTACGATGTGTCGCTTTAAAGACGACGATAGTATTTGCTGTCGCAATACACTGAGGGTGTATCTGACTGTTGGGCGCCGCCGCAGTTCGATATGTCGTGGATTTCTCCGCGCCGGAAACCTGCACGGGGGGTTAGAGTACAGGGACGTGCGGAGAGTCAAATGTCGTGGGCGATGCGTCCGCGCGCCAAGAATGCAACATGCGGCGGCAGGGGAGTCTTCTTTGGCGCGCGGCCTGTGCGCGAGGGGGGGGTGCCTGGTAGGTGTGGCCTTTGATAGGCAGATAAAGCAATTGTTATGGTGCGGATACCCATTTTGGGTGCTTGGGTCAAGAGATAAGAACCTCGAGGGAAGATGATGGACGAAGGCAGACTCAAGAGCAACTGTGTTGGCATGCTGTGCGACAGGACCGGCGAGGCCGCGCATTTCCCGATAAGCATGCAAATAAAAACGGCGCTGAGCGTCCCACCTGCGCTTAGTTCAAAGTACTTCCATGGCTTTGGAGCTGGATTCGAGCTAGATCGCGGAAATTTGCGCGCGATTTCAATTAATTTCCATTTCCTTAGTTCTTCCATTATTTAATTTACATTTACATTCGTTGTTCTTCATTTCTAGCCTTTGTCATCTTCATTACCTTCTATTCGCAGCATGAGCAAGACCTCGAATGTTATTCGCATCAGAAAATGGCGCTCTAATTGTATTTCAAAGCGCAATTACAGGACTTGGCAAAGTGCCAAGAAGGCTGCGCCGCAAGTTGCATTTTGGGCGGAGCATGGACGAATTAGACTTTCCCACGGCCCTGTACTCTAACCCCGTGCAGTTTCGGGCGGGGAAACCACGACACATCGACAGCTGGGGGCTGATAGTCACATACACCCTCAATGTGTGTGAGTACTATGTGTCTTCAAGTGAAAATGATATGAATACTATGCGGTAAATAGTCGCAAAGCAGAAAAGAAAATCACCTGTTGGACTTTTTTGCTGAGATCTTCAAGGTCAGGATCACGACTACCATCTATCCGCCTTCCATGCAAAGCTTCAGTAGCCAAATGATCGGCCTAACACAAGTATCATTCTTAGCGCAGTTCTGTAATACAGCGGCAAGCCACCAACCTCTTGCAGAATCTTTACTGTAAATGCGTTGAGATAGGTCGGAGTGATAGTAGTGACCGGGTAGTTAATAGGCGCACCAAAAACGTAAACGACCCTGTAATTTGAAGTAAGAAATGAACGCAATGGAAATATGCCCTATTTGACCTACCTGTTAATATTGTGAAGTAATTTTGGTATGATATTAGCGTAACAAGCCAGCAACTGCCACGGGATTGGCTGCTGCGCAGAAGACAAGGCAGCAACGTATGAGTAAGATCTAGACAGAAGAACGGCAGTGAAGGTAAACTGCTGGCCAAAGCGACAACTTACCGACTATCACCTTGAACTCCTACACTTTTAATGGGCAATAGAGTAGCGTTCATGACAAATGATTGCGTCATTAGTTCGGAGATTTCCCATCCGCTCATTGCAGCCAACATCTAAAACATAAAATTGAATAACCAAAAGCCACGAAGAACTACTACATGGGTGCCACTCACCTTTTCTCTATACTCAACCTCTAAGGCCGTTGCTGGCTGACGCCGTAAGTTGGTCAAGACGTTCAAACACTGATGAGTTGTCCCAAAATCATTGCATATATGTGGTTTCTGAAGAACAAAATTGACAACTTGCTCGTACAACGAAGATTAAAGGCAGTTGGCACGATGGTTTCCCACACGGCCTAAAATGCTAGTAGGGCGCTATGTAGTGGGGAAATGGCGAAAGAACGGAGTGAAACGGTCAAAATCCGGCGAAGAAAAGCCTCCGTTCTCAGTGACTTGAAAATCGATTTCGGACGAGTTTCCCGTAGCATCTTGCCAATCACCGCTACCGAAGATACGGCTGCATATGTGTACCCATATATGCATGCAGCATCACGGCCGCTTCATACCAATCCCTTCGCTTCATAATTTGCTTAGCAAATGAATGAATACGAGCGTCAGGAACGGTCGTCCATTTGTGGGCGGGCGGCGTGGCGTGGGCGTTTGGGACGTAAAGTTGTGGCATTGATAGCCCTTATGAGAGACACCTTCCTCAGAGAAACCGCTATGCAGCGCCTGCCCAGGGTCGCGGAATTCTGCTGAGGCAGTCGCATAAATCCTACATCTGTGTAGCGATTTATCGTGCCAACTGCCTTTAAGTATCACTTTCGATAGAAAAACTGAAGGGGAAGCAGTAAAATGTGGGTGCCACTGATATGGCGAGATATCCGAACAGGTCAGGATGTTTGAAAACAGTCTTCGCGAAGGCGTCCTTCCTTGTTCAAGTAGCCTGGTCTGCTATCTTTAAGTCTGTCCCACTTTTGGGAATTCACAGTTTGCAAAGAAAGCACTGCGGCCCTCACAAGTAGCAGTCCTGACGCCTCATTCAAAGCTGCTCTCTGCATCGAGTCAGTTTTTACACTGTATTTTTCACTTTTTTTCCCTTGTTAGATGGTATTACCATTGAATGACGCAAAGAAACAGTCAGTGAGCCACAGTCGACAGGATATTGCTTTGCTTGCATTGAACGAGGAGGTCCAGAAAACTCGTACGGTGGGGCTGTCAGAGATCACCACTTAGGGTGTTCTCGATGGTCCTTTCTGCTTTTTCCTGTTTTGGAGAGTCACTTAGCGACTAACGTAATAGTTTCAAGTTGCATATTACGATGACTGTTTTTAGGGTTACAAAACATCTGTCCAACCGGATGCTCTCTCCCTATTAGGGTCCAGAGGTGTTTTCTCATCTCATCTTCTGTTCGAGCATTTAGGGGTAGGAAGATAAGGACGCAGTATGAGAGAAGAAAGGAAGAAAAAGAAGGAAGGAGGAAAGAAAAGGGAAGGAAGAGGAAGACTCCGGGGTTGACAGATATCCTGAGACAGCTGTTTTAGCCGCAGCTCGCGCTTCAAACGTTACTACCCGCATCCACGCTTTCCAGGCGAGTGCGCTTTCCGTTAAAGACACATGGTACGACCACACATAGTTGTGTGTGTGTGTGTGTGTGTGTGTGTGTGTGTGTGTGTGTGTGTGTGTGTGTGTGTGTGTGTGTGTGTGTGTGTGTGTGTGTGTGTGTGTGTGTGTGTGTGTGTGTGTGTGTGTGTGTGTGTGTGTGTGTGTGTGTGTGTGTGTGTGTGTGTGTGTGTGTGTGTGTGTGTGTGTGTGTGTGTGTGTGTGTGTGTGTGTGTGTGTGTGTGTGTGTGTGTGTGTGTGTGTGTGTGTGTGTGTGTGTGTGTGTGTGTGTGTGTGTGTGTGTGTGTGTGTGTGTGTGTGTGTGTGTGTGTGTGTGTGTGTGTGTGTGTGTGTGTGTGTGTGTGTGTGTGTGTGTGTGTGTGTGTGTGTGTGTGTGTGTGTGTGTGTGTGTGTGTGTGTGGTGTGTGTGTGTGTGTGGACTTATCAGCCCCAAAGCTGTCGAAGCGTAGCGGTTCCCCCGTCTTAATATGCGCAGGAATGGAGATACAGGACCGTGAAACACGCTAATTCCTCCAGGCTCCACCCAATACCTACAAACCCCCGTTCATGATAACATCCGTTGTGTGCGCGCGGTCGCGTGCGGCTCTCCTGGCTTTTTACCAAGTCCTGTAGCTGCGCTTTGGTATACAAGTAAAACACAAATTCCTTCATGCGGATAACATTAATACGGTGCTTGAAATAAGCCGAAGATGATGACGAGGACCAGAACTCAAGAGCAACTGTGCTGCTTCTGCAACATCCCTCACAGGCCGACCATTCCACAGACATGACAATAAAAACGGCCTAAGCGTTCCACTCGTTAGTTTAAAATATTTCTATGGCTCTGGAGCCGAATTCGCGCCGGATCGCAGAAATCTACATGCGATTTTAACTAATTTGCGTTTCCTGATTTATTTGCATTGTTTAGTTTTATTTTACCTCTACATTCGTTGTTTCTCATTTTTAACCTTTGTCATCTTCATCCTTGCTATTCGGATTTGAGGCATGAACAACACCACAAATGTTATTCGCATCAGTTGCGTTTTGCTTGTATTAAACTAAAGAGTGGAACGCTCAGGCCGTTTTTATTTTCACTTTTGTGGGAATGCGCGGCCTCCGAGGGATATTGCAGAAGCAGCACAGCTGCTCTTGAGTCGTGGCCCTCGTCATCATCTTCGGTTCTTATTTTGCAGCACCTAAAATGTTACCCGCATCAGGAAATTGCGTTTTACTTGTATTTCAATTACAGGACTTGGCAAAAAGGCAAGAGAGCTGCGCGCGACACGCGCCGCGCGGAACGGCTGTTAGCATAAACGGTGGGCGGAGTATGGAGGAATTAGCGTGTTTCACGGTCCTGTATCTCCATTCCTGCGCATGTTAGGACGGGGAAACCGCTACGCTTCGACAGCTGGGGCTGATAGTCACACACACCCAAACTATGTGTGATCGTACCATGTGTCTTTAAGCCACCAAGCCGCTTCTACCCTCTCAGCTCAACGTAGCCTATCAGCACTCACACGTTGAAATGATGAGCCGGTCAGCCGTAATCGTGAGATATCAGCAATAAACCGCGAGGCTTTTGCAAATTTTGAAGTTTCATATCATAACTGCTGTTTTACGCCACAGATCGCGCTTCGAAACTTTGCCCATAACTCAACATTCTTGCGGTTTCAGCATAGTATACGATTGAGCCATTATTCGCAATACGCAATCGCGAGGTTGTTTCGAAGGAACGGAACGAAAAGACAGGAGAAGGAGTTCCAAGGGCGGAGCTTGGCAATTGAGGCAGAACTCTGGTATTCTAACCAACAATTTCAGGCTTCTGAAATGAAATATCCTCTACGGTTGCGGAAAGTGCCATCTTGATCAAGTAAGGAATTCTGGGCATGAGCTAATCGCAGACGATCCCCTGAGAATTCAAGAAAACAGTGCTCACTTACAACATTAATCATACAAGTGCTTCATATTTTATCGAAAAGGAAGGTTGTTTTCTGTGAATTTCGGTCATACCAACCTGAGCGCAAATGATTCGTATCGCCAGTCCTGGTCCAGGGAAAGGCTGCCGATTAACCAACTGATCGGGAAGACCAAGTGATCGACCTAGCTCGCGAACTTCGTCTTTATGAAAATCTCTCAATGGTTCGATAACACGTCCCTGAAAAACAGCGTTTGCAAGAAATATCAAAACACAATATGTTGAAAAGCTGGCATGTGTTAAAGTGAAAGCAATCTCACCGACGCTCGTAATTCCCTCACAAGAGCAGTATCATTGTGATGGGTTTTGATGATGTCAGCATGTCCGCTGGCAATTTCACTAGCGCTTTCAATCAAATCCGGCCGCAAAGTACCTTGGGCAAGGAAATAGTCCTCTTTATCGAGCTTCAGCTAAATATATTGAAATGGAAGAAAAACGGCTTATTACTGGCGAGAAATAACGCTACCTCCTCCATAACGCGATCTTTCACACGAATGAAAGTGTTTCCAATGATTTGCCTTTTCAGCTCGGGATCGACAGTTCGATCTAACGGCTCGCCTTCCCCAGCTTTTCCGGAAGAGGTAGCAACCATGAATTTAAGGCCAGCGTATTCTCCTGTAAACTACTGTCTCATATCATGAGCTCAAAACGATCAGTACCACGCACTATGCACTGGCAGATCGATCTCCTTGAGGCTTTCCACGACATGATCGCTTTCATCTTTCCTCATGAAACCGTTGTCAATATGAATCGCAGTAATACGATCAGGACCAAGAGCGCGACTTAACAAAGCCGCGCAAACTGATGAGTCCACTCCACCGGAAACAAGCACCTGAAAAAAAAGAAAATAGCGCAGGTTTGATTTCTTCATCCCAGTAGCCCATTAAAGGCATATCCCGTCTTTATTTGCTGTTTATGGGCCTTCTTGGTTATGGCCTGCCTGCAAGCATAGAGGATTTACTACTTTCGCACCTCAAAAATACGTGATCAAAGCGCCACCCGCTCGCGATGGAACCTCAACTCCACCCACAAGCCACCGGGACGGGAACCTTCACTTTTAACCGCTACCTGATGATGCGGTTGTTTCGCTACTAACTCCCTCCATCCTGTTTGGGGCCAGTGAGGTTATAATGAGAAAGAGCAAGCGAGAAGTCGTCCAACCACGCCCCTCCTTAGGCTTGTGCCTGCACAAGCGCGCTTCAACACGGGTTTCCAAAGGCGCATCCGTGCGGGTTTCCAATACTTTTTTCTTCAAACACGGGTTTCCAAAGGCGCATCCGTGCGGGTTTCCAATACTTTTTTTCTTCACTTTTATTATCGCTTTGTTTACTTCATTTTTGAGGGTTTCTGTGATCTTATCATTAAGCCGCACAAGTAAGCATTCTTGAACACGGAGTGTGCTTTTTAGTCTTTATTCACAAATCAGAAAAAGAAATGAATGAGTGGAATTGCATACCAAGACTTTTTTGTCTCCAACAGTCTTCCGTATTTCTTCAACACACATATGCTCACGGTTAGCCATCGTATAAGCGCTTGAACATCCGCTTATCCGAAAAAGGAAATTCTCGAACATTTTCCGCCCGCCTGGGGTTAGGTCAACCTCAGGATGAAACTGCACTCCGTAAAGCCGTTTTTCAGGACATGCGATACCTAAATGAGGTATAATGATAAAAAAGTTTACACCCAAGGCACAGCACGCGGACAATAGGATAACTGCGATTTCTCGACTTAATTTCAAGCAACATGGAAATACCAAATCGAACCCATTTTTTGAAACAGGAGTTCATCATAAGAGCTATTATGACGGATTACGGCGACGCTGGGATGCGCGATAGACATGGCACATCTGCAGGTGAATCCCCAGCGAAGGG